ACTTTTAACTTAAATATTATTAACTATAAGATTATATATAAATATCTTAATATTATTTAAGCGAAGAATATTATAAACTATATAAAATAAGTTTTTAAGTATATTTAAAGTAATATAAACCGCGCTTAAAAGATTATAATTATATAAGTTAATAAGTATTAATAAAAGGTTACTTTTTAAATAGGCGATACGGTCTTTCTAAATAGTAAGAATATTACCTTCGATCGCTTTTTCCGTAAATTAAATTATAAAAAACTCGATCTATTTAAGATTATAGACTTTATTAAAATCTTATATCGTCTAAAACTTTTACTAAGTATAAAAATCTACGATATCTTTTATTCTAATCTCTTAAGTTTTATAATAAATAACTTATTATTAAGATAGATAAACTCTTCGCCGAAATATATTATTATTAATAATTAAATTAAATAGATTATTAAAGAAATACTTAGTTTTAAATTAATCTATAATTATTTTAAGTATAAAGTTAAATAAAAAAGTCTTAATAATAATCTTATTTAATATAATACGAATAGCGATAAATTCGAAAATTATTAAGATCTAGTAAATAACTTCTATAAACGATATTTCGAAGAGTCTTATCTATAAAGGATTAACTTATAAAATAATAGAGAATACCTCATTTTTAATCGAATTAAAATCGTTCGATATCTTTATAATAACCTTATTTTTTCTAAATCTAAAAATTAATTTCTTAGATCTATATTAATCGAGAATTATCTTATATATAATCTTTCGCGTAAGCCCCTCTTATTAATATAATTTTAAAGATCTTTTAAAGCTATATTAATATATATATAAATTACGCTATTATTATTATAAAATATAATTAATATTAGCTAAATAATATATTATAGAGAAGATTATATTAAAGTTATTTAATATTAAATTAAAGTTTTTAGCGTTTATAACTTAATTCGATTCGAAAGCCTTTAATTAATTATATCGTATTATTTTATTAATATCTTATTCGCTTAAATATAGATTCGAAAATCGCTATTATTTACCTCTACGTTTATAAATATAATTTTTATTATACTATATCGATTTCCTCTCGACTAAGCTCTTTATATACGTTTATATCTCGATTAGCGATATTACTATAGCGTAAATATAAAGAGCTACTATTATTCTTAATATCTCTTATAAAGAAAGATATAATACTAAAATTCCCGAATATAGTTATTTCTTTACTACTTTTATTAGTTTTTAGGCGTTAAGTATATATATATATCTATTTTTCTATTTTTCTACTTATTAATTATAGAATATAATTTAACGAAGAAGAGAAGTAGTATTATAAGCGTATTCTTAATATATCTCTCAGCCCTATAACTAGCGAGCCTTAGCGGAGATATCTTCTATTATATTATATCTTCTTTTTATCTATATAGTTTAATATCTTAGTTATCTTATTTAATATATCTATATTAATATTATATCTATATCGATTCTAATACTTCTAAAAAGATCTTTAATAAATCTTTAAGTTATTTAAATACGCTAGAATCGTCTAACTACGTAATATTATATTATATAATTTTATTATAATTATTTTTATTATTTTTAAATAGAATCTAATATAAAAAAGTAATAAATACTTATTTTAAATTATATATAATTACTATATTAGCTAATAATATAAATTACTTTATATTTATTATTATAATATCTATTTATATTTTATTACTTATAAAAAAATCGCGATAGGTCTAGAACTACTCGCGTTAATAAATATTTAAATTAATATTATAAATTTAAAAGAAATTAAGAATAAGATTATATTCTTATATATCTATAATATATATCTTTAAAATTTACTTTTTTTTTTTTAATTATTTATAAAATTAAAGATTAAATTATACTTTCTATATAAAAATATTTAATAATTATTAAAAATATTTAATAATTATTAATAATATATATTATTATTAACGCGTATTTAAATTTGAAAATCTATATCTTTTTAATAAAAGATTATAATATAAAGATTTTCTCGCTATTAATATCTATTAGAATAGTTATTTTATACTTTTTATTTAATATAATAATTTCGCTTTTTAATAATAGAGAGTAAGATTATTATTTAATTAATAATATATTTAATATTATAATAATAAATATTAAACTTTATTTTTTCTCTTATTTAATTTATAATTATATACTTTATTATTTATAATATAATTTAAATATTTAAATAAATTCTTATAATATTTTAACTATTTATAATTATAATATTATATTTTAATAAAGAGTATCTTAAGCTTAATATAAGAGTTATTATCTTTAAATTTAATTTACTTAAACTTTTAATCTTATAATATTAATAAGAATAAACTCTTCTTTTAATCTTATTAATTCTTTATATATTATTTCTTAAACTTCGTATATTATTAATTATTACTTTTTTAATTACTTATTTTATTATTATAACGAGTTTTATCTAGAATAAAAAGCTCTCTTATTTTTTATAATCTTTATTTAATATTTTAATATTATTATAATAATATAATATAGATAATAAATTAAATAATCTTCTTTATAACTTTTAAAGAAATTTTCTCTATTATTCTATCTTATAAATCTTTTATATATTTTAAATTAATTATATAGCGATCTTATTATAATTAAAATATAATAAAATAATTATTAAAACTAATTATTAATTATATATTTTTTATTATTATTTTAATTAACTAGTAATCTATATTATAAGATTTAATAATTAAATTATAAACTTAATTTAAATATTACTTTTAATATTTCGCTTAAATAAATTTCTTAATATAACGTAATAATATATTTCTAATATTTCTTTAAATTTATTTTTTAATATTTATTAAGAGAATAAAAAACTAGCTAATCTTTTCTTTATTTATATAAAAATTAATATAAAATATTAAAACAATAAAATTATTATAATCTTAAAAAAATATAATTATTTAATTATAGTTATTAAGATATTATATATTAAATATTTTAATAATATTTATTTTCTTATAACTTAAATTATAATAATAATTATCGCTATATTTATAATACTATTTTTATATATTCTATATTTTAATTAATTTAAATTTTTTAATAATTAATTATTTTTTAATATTAAGCTCTTAAAATTAATAGCGTTAAACTTAAATTAAATTTATAAGATAAAAGTTTTTATTTATAAATAGAAAGTTATTAGATATAACGCTTTGATAATTATTATTTTTATTAATAATATTATTAAAAGTTTTATCGATATTAGAATTAATATTATAATTACTTAATTATATATTAAATATATTTTAATAAAAGTTATCTATTAAATTAAAAATATTATTAATAGATTATAATAGAATATTTCTACTTTATAAATTAATAGAATTAATTTATAATTTATTTATTTATAATAATTAAATTAAATAACTTTTTATAAAAAAAATTTTTAGAATTATAAAAAAAAAAAATTTTTTTTTATAAAAATAAAAAAAAATTATAAAATTAAAAAAAATAAAAAAAAAAATAAAAAAAAAAAAAAAATAAATTAAAAAAAAAATAAAAAAAAAAAAAAAAAAAAAAAAAAAAAAAAAAAAAAAAAAAAAAAAAAAAAAAAAAAAAAAAAAAAAAAAAAAAAAAAAAAAAAAAAAAAAAAAAAAAAAAAAAAAAAAAAAAAAAAAAATTAAAAAAATTTTTTTTTTTTTAAAAAAAAAAAAAATTTTTTTTTTAAAATAAAAAAAAAAAAAAAAAAAAAAAAAAAAAAAAAAAAAAAAAAAAAAAAAAAATATAGAGTAAAGTAAGAAGATTTCGATAATAATCTTATTTAATATAATTTAAATAACGATAAATTCGAAAATTACTAAGATCTAGTAAACGACTTCCATAAGCGATATCCCGAAAAGTCTTATCTATAAAGGATTGACTTATGGGATAGAGCCTCCAACAAAAAAAAAAAAAAAAAGCCCCCAGGCCGGAACTACCGTTTTCAGTCGAATTGAAACCGTCCGATGTCTTCACGATAGCCTCATTTTTTCAAAGCCGAGAATCGATCCCTCAGGCCCATGTCGATCACAAATCACCTCATAAAGGGCCTTCCGCGCAGGGTCCCCTTGCTAACACAACCCTGAAGACCTTCCGGAGCCATACCAGTACACGCATGGACCACGCTGTCGCTGTTATTTGCCGGTAGCGGGTATCAAGACGCTAAAATTTTAGCGTCGTAGCTCACTTCTGGATAGTACGAGTACTACAACGAATTTCTCTAGCATAGCATAATGCTTTCTTTGAAACAGCAAATCGTTCGACCACGAACCACGAATCTCCACGGCAGACCACGGCTCGAGCAACGCCGTGTCGGCACAATGCTGCTGTAGTCGCTATTGATATACCTTAGTTACTTTCACATCAACGCAAGATCGATCATGATTTCCCGTTTCAGATGCCGCATTCGAAGACACCAGTCGGTCGAAGGACCAATCTCTGATGTGTAGTGTACATATCTAGCCACCAATGAAAATAACGCAGGCACTTAGTTTTACAGAATGTACATATGAATGGTCTTATCGCTCTTCGGCGCGACTAACGCACTGAGCTTGCGATCGAGCTCCTTTGAGGAAGCCGTGAATGGAAGAGATTTCTTGCGTGGACCCAAGCTAGAAACTTATACAAACTTGGTGGAAGTATCAACCGTGCTCGATGAGCCTTGCCTTCGTGATCGATTGACAAGCAACCATGACTCTACATTTCCGCTAGCGAGGTCTTCCCAAAGGACTTCATGGTCCTATTCGGTAGAACGGGATCGCGAAGATCACCCGAAGACAGGATGAAGTCATCGTTGATCATCTCACCCATAGAGCGACAGGATTTTGAGCCCTGAGACTAGCATCCTATTCGAAAGGAGCCACCTAGTGTATGACGACGCGCGCTGTACAATCAACGCGCATCAGGGTGTCTGGTGACTTCATACACGGGTGACATGCTTCGAGTTTGAGTAGTCAGTACTGGTGGCTCTGCGCAAAAGATGGGGCTTCCCGGTATGGATCCTGATAAGGTCTTTGAGGAGCACCGTAGACCTGGCCGTTGCGCTCGTAAACCGGGTTCGCAGCATAGCTCGACTCGTAGCGGACGTATTCAGGGCCCATCTGCTCTACTGGTCGAGCGATAACGTATCGAGCAGGCTCCCTAATTCCAGAATCCTCATACCTGATCGGCACGTATTCAACACGTTGCTGATGACGACTGCTCGGAACACAGGGATCATCAATATACTCATAACGAGTTTGCGTCGCATACTCGTTATTGGGAATCCTTTGGGAGCGGTTTACCCTGCGTGACGACGGGGATCGAACTTGGTATAGAGAATCGCGTCTGTCCTCTTCTACCGGACTTCTGGGCCGGTAGAGAGCTGTCTCTGCAGGCGGTCGTTGAGGGGATGCTGATTGGTCGCGATATTGTGATATGCGTGAAACTTGGTAAGTGTGGCTCCCGCTGCGTTGTCTTTTCAGCACACTGCCGTTCATGTCTTGACGATCGTTGACGACCACTTGCTCAGAGTCTTCGTAAGGAGCGTATCGCACAGGCGGACTGCCGCCAGTTCTGACAGGCCCCAACGGTACTTGGGATAAGGGCCGTAAGCCGTCATAGTAATGGGTATGAGAACCCGATCTTTGTGGAACGGCGGCCTGGCTACTCTTTCTTGGCTCGGAAGAACCTCCTGTCCGCAGCTGGTTCCCAAGAATGTCGTTCTCTTGCCTTTTGACCTTGACCTCATCTCCCGATCGCTGATCGTAAGCGCCATCTTGTCCGAAATACTGTTGTCGGCGCTTGAATGGTGGCTCGCTAAGCCACTGGCCCTGTGAAGCGCATTCTGTGTCTCGTTCCGACGAAAAGCGCTTATGAGTACGGGCACCCTCAGTTTCTGGGGCTAAAGTGTTGAGAAATCGGTCTGCAGCAACTACCGCCTCGGGTGGGGACACGCCTTGTGCGCCACGCTTGACAGAGCTCAAGATCTCTCCAGGCCTCTCATCCTCTGGAGTACGACCATAATTTCTGATGTAATCGACAGGAATATCGTACTGATTCACAATGTCTGGTCGAGAAGGCTTGGCTTGGACTCCTGCATGCTGGTGGAAACGGTGCCCCGACCGAGATATGGCATTCGGAACTGGAGACTGAGGCTGCGTCACATGCTCGAATGGCTCGTAAGACTCCCTAGAATAATTCTCGCTTATCTTCGGCCGTGATACGCTGGCACTGTTGTAAGTTTGTTCGTCCTCCAGCCGTGGAGGCATTGCATAGTTAGACTTTTCTTGCTGAGTGTAGGACAAGTATCGGTGACCATCTTGTAATGGCGAATGCTGGACAGGCTTGTGAGACTGGGTTGAGCCAGTGTCAATTTTGACAATCTTGCCTAAGTATGCAGGTCTATGGGGATCGTATTCATCCTCTCCCGGCGGTTCAAGAGGCTCGGATGAGCGACCTGGTGACAACAGCCGAAAAGCACTATGTGGCCGATTGAAAGACTGATCGCCAGATTGACCTCCATAATGAGATGGGAGAGCGGCCAACGGTTTTGACGGAGCTCCGGAGGCTCCTTTTGTATTCGCGTCGAGTTCCTTTCTGTACATAGGGTGAGGCCCCGTATTCGTTCGATTCTTCAGGTTTGGAAGAGGAGTGGGAAATGCATCAGGAAAGACCAAAGCAATCAAGCTTAGTTTGGCATCGGTCATACCATTAGCATTGAGGAGTTTGGAGATGACCGAGAGGTCAGGATAATCTATCATATCGTGCTTCCAATCGAGTTCTGGAGCTTGTGGGTGCCCAAGCATTTGTGGCGTCTCGACGTGAGCTGTTCTGAAATGGTTGACTAAGTGAGGCAATGTATACAGCTTGGCTCCTGTGCCGTTGTTCATACAAGTTCTGCAGCCTAGTCCATTAACACTTCTGACAGGTCTCATCACAGCATTATGGTCAAGCCCGTCGATAAACATAGACAGACTAGGCTCATTGGGGAAAGAGGCTTTGAATCTGGCAACAGTGTGTTGGATTACGACATAGATCCGGACGCTGCCTGGAAGATCTTTAACCCCGCCAATGCCGGTAAAAACGTCTTTAGCATGTTTGGCCATCTCGTCCATTTGACGCTGATACAGATCTGATACTTGACCAGGAACATTGTGGACTTGGGCAAGGGTGGCCAAAGGTCCCTTTTGGAAATTTCCTGGATATGGTACCGATGGGCGCCCTCCATAATTGTTCGCACTGACTTCGGGAAAGTAACCCTGCGGGATTGTACCAAGCTGTCCTTGTGGAAATCCTGGGTATCCTTGTTGACCAGGAAAGGAGCCATACTGTGCTACTTGGCCTTGCTGCGCAACGGGAAACGGGTTGTAAGAGGCAGTACTGGTTCCGTAACCATTCTGAACTCCAGAGTGGCCAACTCCGGCAATGTGAGATGAGTTTGCAGGTGGGTGAGATTGTGCGGGTAACACTTGGGGAGGGCCTTCCTGGCGGGGGCCTGGGTACGAATTTTGGTATCCAACAGTGGGATATTGGGGGGTTTGATGCTGTGATGTTCCATTTGGGGTACTTGTCTCCACGGGCTGAACGAAGTTGCCGTAAGTAATTGGTCCTCGTGGATCTCTAACAGCCGGAACTTGTACAGGAGGCGCTGGAGTGGGGATCTTGTAGTAATTTGTTTTAGCAACACTGGGATTAGGGTTGAAAGGAGGATGCTCCGGCCACTCGGATCGCCAGTGAACCACGATGTTTCCCATACTAAGCGCGGTGGTGTGTTTTGCAGCATAGTGCTGAATTACACCCTCGAAGCCGTAAAACTTGAAATTGCCATCACAACCGTTGCAAAGAAACAGCTCTCTTTGGAAATGGTCCGTCAGCGGCTTGATCTTGGTATCGAACAGCCATTTCATATTTTCGAGAATCAATTTTCTAGTTGGTGGTCCGTTGGGTGGATCGGTCTTTACAGATTCACCAGCGGCAAGAGCAGCTTCATCCTCCTGTACTACTGCAGCGTAAAAGCGTTGGCGGACATCCAGCAGCACATCTGCCGCAAATTTGGGACTTGATTCTTTCGTGACGGCTTTACCTCCGGCCCACCTGGATTCAATGGCCTCAGTAGCCAAAGCACCAATCCGATGCCGGACCGGAGCCTGATAGTTCTCCCATTCGCGGTCAAAGTTCTCCTTGGTCTCCTTTAGTTGAGCTTCCTGCTGACGTCGTTGTCTGTACTCCTCTGCAAGGATCTCGGTTTGCTGTACTTGCTCTTTCTCGCGCCGTTCAGCACAAGTGAGCTGGGAAAGCAGACGAGGCCTGAGTATTTCCCACGCTTGGTCCGTCATTGGCTGCGATATTTGCATGGCTGCTTGGAAAGAGTCCATGTGCCTCAATACACTGGGCAACAAAGGAGGGTCCAAGGCTGCGCAGCGGCGCTCTATCTCCGCTCGTCGAGCTGCTTTAGCTTCATTGACGTCCTTTATGTTGCGTTCCGGTCGTGGCTGATGGGATGCAACCTGAGGTCCATGTTGCACACCGCCTTGGATAGGGACCGGGGGGTTCTTAGGATATTGAAACGATGCTACGACAAATTGATCAGTAGACTGACCTCGACTTCGAGTGTTGATGGACTGGTTATGCGTGACCCTGGGTCTACTTACGTGTGGATGCACTCGTCGCAAGTGGACTCGCCTGATCGCCCTCAGACTTCGTTGAGAAGGCCATGCTCTGCGGAGTTGATCGATCCGAATAGGTTTCACCTTTGGCACTGGAAATAACTGCCTTGGGATTCGGACGCAAATTCACGTTCTTCAGCCCGCCTTTGGAGTCCCACTGCTCCCAGCGGATGATGTCCTCGAGACACTGCTGCCCTTGCTGAGCCAGGCCCTTGGTCCACTCTTCTGCGGACGCAACACCAAGCTCCTTCGCATTTTCAAATTGGCGCTTGATCTCCTCCACATCGGGCTTGTAGTAACGTTTTGTCATGCGCAGCATAGGTGGAGCTGTAATGCTTCGCAAGACGTTATGACCAATGTAGTGGTAATTTTCTGATATGAAGGCAAAGGGGAGACCCTGCAGGAGGAAAAACGGGCAATCCGACGACATAGAAAGATCCAGTTCCTGTGCGAAGTCAGTTCGCGATTTCTAATCGTTGCTAGCCAATGATGTTGACAGTCCGGTACCTTTTGAGTATTGTCTTGCAAACATGGACCGCAACACCTTAGCCCAAAGGGCCAGATAACCCTGACACCGGTGTCACCAGGTCCGGACTCCCACGGATCCTGTGGATTTGCTACAGAAGTATCAACCTTGACCTTTTCACAGATCTGGCAACCATTTCCCTTGAGCAATTTCCACATTTCAAGCTCCATTAACCCATGGATAGGCCTTGGAATTCCCGGACAGAATCTTCTCCGAGAAAGAGCCCAAATGGCCTCTGCTTTAAGTGGCTGTATAATGCTATTAGGTAGCGGAGTGGGATCCTCTTCACTTTGGCCAGGGGTCAAAATGGTATTGAAAGCGTGGTTTACGCTTAACATACGCCCAAGAAAGACGGGTGGAACATAACAGAAGATATGTTGCCAGTGAACAGCAGGCAACGCAGACGATTTGCAAGAAAGGTCTGCTCCTGTTCCAATACTGTAACCGTTTGGCCTGGGTCGCTTGACTCTGGAAAGGTTCTCCATGAGATTATCGGCCTGCCTGGAAGGAGCTTCATCTGTAGATCCATGGCTGTCAACAACTGTAGGAAAATCTCTCCTATTCTGCATGATACGGTTAGGATTTGGATCTTGTTCCCGTTTCCGCTTGTGGGAGACTTTATGCTCGATACCGTTCGTTATGGGAGCAGCTTCTGGCTGCGCTGACTCTGAGGGAGAGTATAGGTCGGAAGACGCAGTACTTCTAGGGGATGAGTCCATGTCTGGCCGTTGTTCTCATGGCAAAAAGTCTGGCGTCCACAGGTAGAAATGTGCTATGGTAAGTAGGTGCTGCAGGACGACCCTCTTCAGCAGCTAGACAATTGTCATTCCGCACAGATAGATATGAGAGACAGAAAGAGATTATGCTCGCATACACGAAAAGAGCTGTTCCTGCAGATCAGGACAAGAGGGTAGTGGAGGAGATTGTGGCCCCGAGACAGATCCCGAGTTTCCCAAGAGGCACTGTAGGAGACCAAGTTTCGAGATCACAGGTAATGCGAATCTATCAGAGACACTGGGATATATTGTGCGAAGAAGAAGCTTGGATATGGGACACGCAGGCGCAATGGAGGGAGTATTAGTAGAGAGTGGTGAAGCGTAGAGTAGGAGGGTCAGTAATTTTGGTGAGGCGACCAAGGCGACCAATCAGAAGAGCTGTTTGGAAATCTTTGAATTTTTGGCTATTTCGCCAAGGCTTAAGGCTGATGATCGCTGACATATTTCAACGTCGTTCTAGGGTGGTCGCACCGTGCGCACTCCCTCAGGTCAGTAAGAATCATCTCTTGTTTTCCTTTGATTCGTAAAGCCGTGAGATAGGAAGGCCTAACAAGCAGTTTTTTACACCTCAAAGTGCCGCTGGACTGTGCTAAGTGTAATGCAGTCAGATGCTGAGGAAGACGGCGGAGCTGGCCTTCGTCGCTATGCCATGCAAAAGGATTCTGATCTGGGCGAAAATGTAGAAAATAATAATGGAGATGTTACACCGTTCAACGACACAGATGCCGATGGCCAGCTCCATGACCGCCAAGCGAGGACAGCTTACTATAATTCTGCCGCCGAGAAATCGCTGAGCCATGCCGAAGCAAAACTGTTCTTCCAGAGACATCAGTTAGAGATATCCCAACATGATGCAGAGGCTGAGAGCCCTTTGGCTAGGGCAAGAACCTTTTCTTCAACTGTGGATGGCGACGGAGGCCTTAGTCGGACAACGAGCGCAGCATCGCGACGCAGTGGCCGGGGGTATGCTCAACGGGACAGGAACTCGAGACTTGTTGAAGGGATCCCAAATTCACCCACCTTGAAGGGCAAAGACTTGCGTGGTACGGGTGACGAGGTCCACTTCGACGATAGCCATCTCGATACAGAGGAAGCCGTTGGACATGAGACTGAGCTCGAAGGTGTCTTGGAAGAGCTTGATATCCCAGCTCCAGACATCTCACCGGAACTCAGCGCTATCTCAATCAATATCAAGAGGGTCTTGGACATAAGGCACAAGTACGTCAATCTGTCACTACAGGGTGCTGGCAACAACCCTAAGGATGGTTCGAACTGGAGAATATATCCACCACCGCCAAATCCTACTTGGGATGATAATAAAAACCGCCCAATCGGTCAGACTTCTGGTTCAAACAGTCTGAGTAACAGCAAGGTTTTAACAGCCGACTCTGACCGTTTGCAAACCAACTGTTTGCCTGGTAGCTCTCAAAATAGAGACTCGACCCAGCAGCAGCTCCCGGTGTCGCCTACAGTGAAGCGCAGGAAACCAGGCCAAGACATTGGGGAGGATTTTGATATGCTGGATCTTTTGCCGTTGCCTGGTAAGGATGAAATCGTCTCATTTAAGCTTGACCAAGGCAGCGTCTACCAAATCTTCGAGACGACTCAACTTGCGCGAAATACTAGCCCCATTGTAATAGTTCCAACTCTGCGAGAGTTCTACATTGACATGGACCAAGTCCAGAATGTCTCTTCTGATGGACCCACCAAGAGCTTTGCCTTTCGGCAGCTAGATATCTTGGAGGGAAGGTTTCATCTATACTTTCTCGTCAATTCATACCAGGAAACGGCAGACTGCAAAAGAGTGCCCCACAGAGATTTCTACAACGTCAGGAAGGTCGACACACATGTACATCATTCCGCCTGCATGAATCAGAAGCATTTGCTGCGCTTCATAAAGAGTAAGATGAAGAAATCGCCAGACGAGGTTGTTATGTTTCGAGATAACAAGGAATTGACATTGAAGGAAGTTTTCGAAAGTATCAATCTGACCGCGTATGATCTGAGTATTGATACTCTTGATATGCATGTACGTTGGTACTTTGCGTTGCTTGATATCTCGAGCGTCATTGTATTAACCCTGAAAGCAGGCCCACACTGATTCGTTCCATCGCTTTGACAAATTCAACCTCAAATACAACCCTATCGGAGAATCAAGGCTCAGAGAAATCTTTCTAAAAACTGACAATTATATCAAAGGTCGCTACCTCGCTGAAATCACAAAGGAGGTCATTTCCGACCTAGAATCTAGCAAGTACCAATTTGTTGAATGGCGGGTCTCTATCTATGGCAGATCCATTGATGAGTGGGACAAGCTCGCTGCTTGGGTCATTGATAACAAGTTGGTCTCACACAATGTGCGTTGGCTCATACAGATTCCCAGACTCTTCAGCATGTACAAAGCCAACGGTCAAATGGACACCTATGAAGAGATCATCATCAACATATTCCAACCGCTCTACGAAGTCACCAATGACCCTTCGAGCCATCCTGAGCTCCACGTTTTTCTCCAGCGTGTGATCGGCTTTGACAGTGTTGACGATGAAAGCAAGGTCGAGACTCGACTATATAGGAAGTATCCACCACCGAAAGAGTGGGACACCAAACAAAATCCACCGTACACTTACTGGATCTATCACTTGTTTGCCAATATGACGTCCTTGAATGTCTGGCGCAAACGGCGCGGTTTCAATACATTCGTACTTCGACCGCATTGTGGTGAAGCCGGCGACGTAGATCATATCGCAGCAGCCGTGCTCTGCTGCCACAGCATAAGCCATGGTCTAATGCTTAGGAAGGTACCGCTACTACAATACATCTTCTATCTCGACCAGATTGGCATTGCAATGTCACCTTTGAGCAATAATGCCCTTTTCCTCGCGTATGAGAGAAATCCTTTCTCGAAATACTTCAAGCGTGGTCTGAACGTCTCACTGTCTACCGATGATCCATTGCAATTCGCTTTCACAAAAGAACCTCTGATCGAAGAGTATTCGGTTGCAGCACAGATTTATAGATTGAGTGCGGTTGATATGTGTGAGCTCGCTCATCATTCCGTGATTCAAAGCGGCTTCGAGCATGAATTGAAGCAGAGATGGCTCGGCCCCGACTATCACCTTCCTGGCGTGACTGGCAATAATGTCGCCAAGAGCAACGTACCCAATATTAGAGAGAAATTCCGGCATGACACATTGGTGCAAGAACTCGAAATGTACTTCTGTCCTTTTCCACACAATGTCCAAAACTGCTGACACTCGTTTCAAGGCTAGAACGATATGCGGCCGCATTCCCCTTGGTTCAGACGATGGCTACGCCTATCAAAGCGCCTCCGTCTCCTGCTGCGGCAATGCATTCGTCTCAAAGAAATTCCTCGCGTGCAGCGCGTATACCTGCGTCCAATTCTATTGCTGACGTGAGAAGCCTCGATCTTCAGCGCACAGGGCGAGATCACAGTAGACCTGCCAGGTCGTCATCAACGATCATGTCGCCATCACAAGCTAAGGGCACATCTTGGATCGACGGAACGCCTCCGCCGCCACGGATGTTTCCAGGAGTCGTGCATGAGAGGACCAGAAGGCGAAGTCTGCGACAAGGGAGTAGTTCGGAGCAGGACACGAACGCTAAGAACGTCAATGTCACAACAGCACCGAGGCCTCTAGTATGGGAGCAAGACGACAAAGGCCTGCAGAAAGCGGTGGCAGAGGAGCCCGATAAGCAGGGAGACCGGGAGAAAGCCTCGAGATAGACGTGTGCAGGAATTTGATACCCAAAGAACTGGCGTCGAACTGGTAGAATGAGAAGGTGTTCAGCCAGAGGGATTCCCGATGCGAAGGACTCGAGATGGGCGTTGGGTTCAGCAGTGGCGCATAGAACGCTGACTAAAGTCTGTTGTAGCAGCGCTTCCGCAATTGTCGTGACGACCCGCTCCCTCTCCTGAATAGCAAGGCACCATTGCCGTTTTATGCATCATTAGGGGAGACGGAGGGGCCTGGCTGGAAGCAACAGGGCGAGAGGGTGAAGTGACAGATTCGTATGCTCTGGGCCTCATCAAAAATGCTGCCATATCCGTTTCATGTGGAAAGGAAACCTCAAGTATTATCCGTACACACATGAAAGACAAGGGCCATAGCAAAGTCACATGCAATTAAATCGGCTGTTCGATGGAAGCTCTAGACTTTGAAGGTATCACAAACGGAGTAACTCAAGCCCATAGACACAGATGCTGAAGCCTTCGGAGTGATCCGCATGAAAATGTCACCGGCGTAGGCCACGTAACTTTTCAAAGGCGTTTTTTAACCATGCTTAGCAAATTTAGTCATCTTCAATATCATCGTCGCTGAGATATGATTGTCCCACTTCTCCCTCAACTGGAAGCAGGAGTGCGCTGGCTGCTTTGCCTGCTTGCTCAACCCCTTGTTGCAGACTGACCCTCGGCGCGGGACCGGTTACGTCGCCTTCAGCTGGACCTTCAGTCATCCAATCGCTGACAGGAGCTCCCTCTCCGAAGTCCTCATCCTCCGAGGCTTCGTTGCCCGGCGGCATGATACCATGTAATTGTGTGATTCTCTCCAGCCCGTTGAGATGTGTGGAGGCCGCATTGTGTTGCTCGATCTTCGTGATATATGGGAGTCTCTCAACAATCAATTCACTTTTAGTGCACCCCAAGCTCGTCCTAAAAGGCTCTGGGCCATCTTCGTCAGGTTGTGACCGGTCTTCGGCGGTTACTTTCGAGGGTTGCACTTCCCGTCTCGACGGCAAATGAGCGAACCGCGGGTCATGCCTACCTATTGATTTTCCTAAAGGTACAGCACTGGCTTGAAGCCTGTCAATCCATTGGCCGACTAAGCCATCGATCTCCTCCATCTGTCTAGATAGTCTCATAGAAGTAGGATAGAACATCCTGTAAGTATCCGTTTTGCACCCACTTTCCCCAGATATCGGGTGTGTTCGCCGCTTTACAGGATCCGGTAAAGCGAACAATAGACCTCGCACTGCAACTTGAAAACACATCTCATCGTGTCGCAATGTATCAGAGGTAGCTCCCTGGAAGGTACGGTTTCCATGGTCTCCAGATGAGCCAAATCTACCGCCTCGTGGTGAGCCCAGTAGGTCGCTGTCAGACAGCGCGTCTATACAGCCGTCAAGATTCTCAGTGAAGGAGTTGCCCTCGCAGGACAACACAAAGTTTTCGTGCAAGGCAGCAATGAAGGTTGCTATATCTGTACCCGTCTCCTCGATAAGTTGGTTGGCAGAAGCTTGCGCCATTCTTAGCCTGACGTGCCCCGACAGGTGATGTGGTGGCTGCGTAGGAGGTTCGCTAGCAGCATCGCCACCAGCAAAGTCTTCACGCTTGTTGTAGACGACCTTGCCGACAGCATGAAAGAGTCCCAGAGTAGCTTCCCTTCGGGTAACCAATTCGAGTGACTCTGTCTCCATCTTTGTTAATGCGGATGAAGCATTCACCGCTTTCTTGGCTCTCGAAGCTACCGTACCACCCCAATCATCTCCGTCCTCTCCTCGTAAACAGAGGAACTCTAATGATCCAATGGCACTACGAATGTCACCCACTTCGCCAAGCTTCTTCAACACAGCTGGCCCAGGTACCCTGCGCCTTCCAGATTGCCTCGCTTCTTTTTGTACGACGAGGTCAAGAGCCTTGGTGAGATAGGTGGAAGCGATTGGGTTGAACTCAATGGTACTTACGCCTGGATGGTTCAACAGTTCGGGCCCAAGGAGTCGATGAGCAGTGAAGCTGTCGCTGGTAGCGGCTGTTGTCATCAATCGGGTTTCAGTGATGATCATGACCACTGGCGTGACCTTCAGGTTATCACCTTGCTTTTTGGATGCAAAGGCGCCCGTAGAAGGCGTAGTGGATGCTAAATATTGGAGGACGCTTGACCGAAATGAGCGCAACGCACTGGAAGTACTCATAAACGTATCCGGGAATTCTTCTATCAGTATGATCCTTTCCCTCGCATTCTCACTGAGCGCATCGATGGTCTGTACCGGCGTTGCTAATACATTCCCACTCATGTCTGCAAGCGCCAATTTATTGAACTTGCCACTCCGACCAAGGAAATCTTCGAAATGAGCGGACATTGGGAGATATGCTTCAGATGAGAGCTCGGAGCCTACGGGATTCTTCCATTCTAATACGTCGACGTCCATAACTCTGGCAAGCATAGATATTGTAGCGGTCTTCCCAGCACCTGAAGGCCCTTTGAGAATCAAAAGTCTCTTGCCCACAATCAGCGATTGTACAACAACAAAAGGTCTTAGAGAAACGTACCTTGCGATCCTGACCCCAGAGCACGATCTCCAACCACTTGCGTACATCCAGTACTTTCTTCTTGTGGACCATCAGCTCTTCAAGATTGTTGGGTCCATATTTTTCTGCCCAAGGTCTCAAATCAATGGCCCTCGATTTTGCTTTCACCTCGCCGGATATTCCTGGGCTGACGCCCATGCTCGAAGCATGTCCAGGGATTTTGAATCTTTGACTGCCACTCTGTTGGCTTGGTTTGTTCGTCGCAGCGGCAATGTCGTGTGCTGGCACCGGGTGCTTCTGCCTACGGTAGAGAGCAGTCCTTATGGTTCTTCCCCCAAAGTCATTCACATTCTCGACCGGGGAGTCGTCTACGATCAGATCTTCATGGTCTTCTACTTCTGGCGTCACTGCCTCGGGAGGCCTCTGACCATTCGGCTGCTGTGCCTCGGTTCTAGCGCTAAAGAATGATGATATAGGCCTCGAAGTCTGTGCCTTGCCTGCGGATTTGGGCTTCGTAGCATGATCTTGGGGGACATTATCTGAAGCTGGCTGTATGGCGATAGTTGATCTGTCGGTGTTGCTCCTCTTGGCCTTCGCCCGGGATCTTGTAGGAATAGGCTTGTGTATTGAATTGGTGTCTGGCTCTTCATCTTCTGAGCTCATCATAAGAAGTCTCTTCTGTCTCTTGGCAGGCGGAGCCATGAGTAGGTGTCACTGAATTACTGCTCATGATGTACTGTTTCAGTATTCAAACCCGTAAGAGATAAGCTATCAGGAGGTATTGGCGGTCTTGAGTGTGCTAGCGTAAGTAAGTCGTTGAGTAGGGGCTGGACCACTCGATTTTTCAACAACATTGTGACCTTGTCGGCAGAGCACTTTCCAAACCAGACTAAATATCCTTTTCCGTTGAGTTTTGTTTATTTTAGAGGTACCGTATGGGGAATACTGCTTCTAAGTAGGCTTAATAGCATACATTCAAGAGATTATTTTGGAGAGTAGCTCGGATTTAATACCGGGTAAACCTTCCCAGTCTCGCCAGTGGCACAAAATGTCTAGTGTCTTGGCATTATGAAGCTTTTCGTAGAATCATTAAACGAGATAGGCGAAGGGCAGCTAGACGACTCTAATATGCATTTCTGAATTGCAAAGCTATATGAAGCTGAAAGCTACCCTCTGTTACCACCATCAATCAATGATCATCGCGCTCCTCTTAAAGCATTTTTCCATTCATTCGCAACTAGCACAACCTTTCACCAGAACCCTAGGTCGACCCTTCTCAGACTAGCTGGTACGTCTTGAGGATTAGCACTGATGTTCTCGATTGTCTTCGAGCCTGAGCTACCTTTGCCCCTATTAAAAAAGCCGACGTGATCAATCTGCGTCACCACCTCCTTCGCAGCGGCGAATAGATCGCGCACGACCCCTTTGTTGATAATACTCGAGGGAGTCCATGTAGCTATTTCACCAAGCTCCAATGTCAAGTTCTCTTGGAGGATAGTAGTAGCGTTTGTAGACGAAAGACTGGCTTCCCACCACAGTCTGTTGGCCTTGATCATGACATTTGGAGTTTGAATGGAGCCTATGTAAATGCCCTCGGAATCGGGAGACTGCCGTACTTGAAGGTCTTGACATTCAGTCAGGTGAAGTATAAGATCTGGATAAACTGTGACGGGGTGCAATGTTTCTCGGCGGAGTGTGATGGACTCAATGCTGAGGTTTTCGTCGATTGTTTTGGTCCAGAGCTCAAGGGACTGGCCATCTCCGGATGGGCCTATCTTTAAGTTGTTGACAATACACTTCACCTGCCTCTGATAGTCCATCGTAAGAAACTTCTCGCTCGTCAACCGTAGGCGAGCGTCCCATGCACGCTTGGGAAAGTACCAGTCCAGCGCCCCCATCAGGACCTCAGACCCTTGGATCTAATCTTCTTAGTATACGGAAAGACATTGACTCGACGTCAACGAACTCACCTTGAAATCTCCATTTCCGTCGAATTCGACAACAATCTGGTCGCCACCCTTCGCTTTGCAGCTAAACACATACGTAACTTTCCTGGAAGCAGGTTGTTGCTGAAAAAGTCTTTTTCCTTGAGACATGAGAACATTCACGATACTCTCTGCCTCAGATGAGCGTGCTGTGAGGATGTTCGTAAACATGGATTTGAAACCAGCTGTCTTTCCCTTTGGAAGCACGGACGAGAATTCGCTTGTCTTGAAGCTTCTATTTTTGAATTCTGACGAGCCAAATTGTTGATCGATCAAAAGCCTGCCAATATCGACTGCAAATCCAATGCGGCCTGTGCGAGGTAGGGCTAAGTCAAGCAGATGGATGGCAAATTCCTCAAAGCTTTTGACTAGGGCGGTATTCCCCCCTACGAAGGCTTGCGTTGGGGCCTTCCTCTGGTTCATGGTGTGTTTGAGATCTCGTGCCTCGACTTTGGAGGTATCTTGTAGGTTGTCTATGACTGTCAGTGCCTCATCTTTCGGTTCGTTGCCTTGAGCACGCCCTTCATTCGGCATAGACATATCAATGAGGCTACCAGACTTGCTATCACGGACAACAACATTCCATGTAGACAAGCTTGGCATGAGTTGCTGCGACGTTATCGATGGCGTCTTTGGCAAGGGACGCAATGGTATGGCGAGCGGTGGCATGTAAGGCGGCTCGATGCTTGGAGGCTGACGGTAGGACATGTTCTTTTTGCCCGTAGATACATTTCTAGTCGACTGACAACCACTGAAACTGCTCATGGTCTCTTGATTTGTTGCTTCGTTGCCATCAGATACTCTCCGAGATTCGACGGAAGCTTTGTTGAAGGCGTCGGTATTCCCTCGTGCAGTTCGGGCACGCTTCGTAGTTGGTTTCTTCGTCGGTGACAAAGGCTCCTTGTATACTATCGCAACGTCTAGTGACTGTTGCACTGCCACAGCTGACTCAGGACGAAAGGCATCCAATTGCACGTTGGGGTTGGTTATCTCAGATACCCATCTATCAATCGAAGTCTCACGCTCTTTCGAAGTTTTAGCCGCAATTAAACCTTGAGCTTGACCGCAGCTGGACACATGATCGTTCCAAAGCCGACTTCCTTGAATCGAGGCAGCCGGCTTTGATTTGACTTGAACAACGTTCGACCCTTTGACGAGTACCAGTACGCACAGATCCCGAATAGACTTGATAAACGAGTCCTTTTGTAGAAGCGTTGTGACCGGCCTTTTATCGTTCAAATCTTTCAAAGCGATAAGCTGCAAGCTAATTGACGTTTCGCCTTCGAGAATATAGAAACTGTAGATTCGTGGAAAGTTTATTTCATTGACCTTGAGACGTCAGCGAAGGTTCGAAGCCTATCGACAGTGGAAATAGACTTACCATCATCTTGTTGAGTCGTTCTAGCTTCGAAATCGCCTTCTCAATGTTCTTGTCTCTGTCGGCCATTATCATTAAACCCGCCGAGTCGCTTGCGTGCTCAACACGGCATCCGCAAAGGTTTCCAATTCTTCCAAGGAGTTGTAAGCTCAACTTCGATCCAAGTTCTTTGCTTTCGCTACTTGGTGACCATTTTCGAATGATGTTCTCGTGCTCAATGAGTGGTATCTGACCATTGGCTTTGATGGCTTGCATTGTTTTTTCAGTCCACGTAGCAAGCGTGAAGCTCGGATGAGTTCCGTCTTTTCTAATGATCTTCTCGTCTTCGAACAGATCAGGCTCCTCATTCTTCTCCACGGATATGAAGGTTCTAATAGAATTCACAAGAAAGGCTAGTGACTCATCATTGTTGTGAGATGCTTGAAGGATGAAAAACTTCCCGTCGAAATGACAGGTTATATCCGTATTCGAATTCTTCCTGAACAAGCCGACGAGTTCGTGTCTCTGCAGAAGGCGTCAGCATATGTAAACCGGTTGAAGGTTGAGGAACTTACAGCAGCCTCACTGAAATTATACAGTGATCCCACAATGTGGGAAATGGCACGCTCTTGTGCCATTGTTCAGGCGTCAATGATGAACTGCGCTGACTAGGCAATTTTATGCGTCTGGGTTGAGATTGAAAGGTGGAAATGTTGATGAGTGAGGCACAAAGGTAGTGGAATTTGGATGAACGAACCGCTGCTGACACATCCGATGCAAGCAAACGGAAGGTGCAAACAATTGTTTTTAGGCCCCTCGAACCGAAACTATTCTGCGTAAGTAAGGGTGCCTCGCTGCTATATGCAGTTGCTGTGACTGCTTTGTTTTTTTGACTCTTCTACCTGTTGAATAAGCTGTGAGAAAAACTTGCAGTCTGGCCAGTTGACCTAATTTAAAGATCATCCCTATGGAAGTTGTTAATCACGAAATGAATTGCTTCAAGACGGAGCCGTGAACAGCGAGATAAATCTCGTTGGTGCTGATCTTGTTGATGTGTTAAGGTTTTGACATTCGACTGCCACTTTTTTTTGGCACCTCGCCTGCCGTTAGCGAACAAATATGGCTTGCGCTCTTGCCCAGAGACCAACTGCGCGCTGATTCTGAATCCTCAATGGAGAAGCCACAGAGTTCCCAATCTCATTTTCAGCAGTCACAACCTCCTGGCTTGTAAATTCGTTCGTAGAGATTCAGACCCAAGGCGAAGATCTTGTGTCTGATGACCTGACACAACATACGGCCAACGAAGCTCCAGAGGTAAGTAAGCTTCAGAGCGTTGCGAGGGACGCAGACACGTGAAGGAAGGTTTGAAGTAGACGGAACGAATGGGAAGATGGGAAGGAACAAGGCAACGCGGAGAATTTACAGCATGGTAACTTTAGTAGAAAGACAAATGCTGCGATTTAATGTGACTGAGCAAAAGGTCTACGACGACGTACAAACACCTGCTTCTAATCCCCATGCCCTTGAAAATGCTCTCTGCACGCTCCAGCGCTATGCATTGGGTATCTCGATGGTCACATTTCCCCAAACTCCAAGCAGTAGCCTTTCCATGACCTATACGTTCTCTCTAGAATCCTTCTTGACGTTGACAACGTGCTTCATCTGGCCGAGCACGCCACTCATCTGCTCATGAAGTTCCTCGTTGGCGCTGTTGTTCCTCTCAGCCTTTTCCTGGATCTCTTGAAGCCCAGATTCCTGTTCCTTCTTGTACGCCTGAAATCCTGTCAACAGCTTATCCTTCACCTGCGCGACCTTAGCGAGTTCATGTGTGAGTTGCTCAATCACGATCTCAAGCTCCGTCATCTTTCGCTTGTCACCATTAATCTCTGTCCGAAGATCGTTGAGATCGGTCTTGAGCTTTTGCGTTTGACGTTCGTACCTGTCCTCCAAAGTCTTCCATGAGCTTGCGAGGATCTCATATTGTGCGGTAGACCTTCTTGCCTCCTCTCTATCCTCTGCAGCACTTCTCCGTAGCTCCTCGACGACCTCTTCCCGTTCCCGTCGACTCTCCCGTGTCTCCTTCTCAGCCTTCTCTCTCCGCAGCTTCTCGGACTGCAGATCAGCCCTTAGAAGCTCAATCTTCCTATCTTTCTTGGTCATCTGAATCTTGTCTGATTCGTGAATCGATGACAGGGTTTCGTTCGACACTTGGAGCCCTTCCAAGGCTGACCTTGCTGATTCTCCACGTTTTACCTCCTCCTCAAGTTTGACGATAGCGAGCTTTCTCTCTCGTTGCAACCGGTCGTTCTCCCCCATAAGCTTCTCTATTACTCTTCCCGATTTCCCCGTTGCGGCGCGGCCTATTGCGGCCGACCAGTTGTGTGAGTCAGGTCCAGGAGTGGGGCCAAATTCGGAGGTGGGCGTGCCGATCGTAGAAAACGTTTGAGGCGAATTAAGAGAGGAGTCTACTTCTGAAGGCAGCGGAGAAGCAATTCGGCTGACAGGCTGTTGCTTCGTAGGCGTATCATGTTCGATGCGGCGCATTGGCTTTCCTGCTGACGGAGCCGGCTGTTTATTTGGAGTTGAGAGATCAGCTGAAAGATAGTGACTCAGACCATTTAGGGGCATGTTGGGAGAAAAAAGCTCGTCTAGTTGTATTTTCGGTGCCTCTGCGAAGACTACGTGAGCATTGTTTTCGAAGATACAAGTAGACAAGAGACGTCGCAACAGAGACATTGTGGTGAATATTAAGCGGGGATGTATTAGCAAATTCGCATACCGAGTTTCCATGTCTTCATCTGGACCAATTCCGGCCGTGGACTACTTTGTCGTGATCTCATTTTGTGTTAAAGTTGGCCACATACATTTACTTTCACATCCCTCAGATATAGGGACTCTTGGGAGAGAACAGACTGCGCAAAAGCAGGTCTCGACCATGAAGAGCAAGATAAAAGGTTGTGACCAGCATTTTTACATCAACAATACAAGGCGACTACTCAGTCAACCAGACTGGTGTTATTGGGGGGGCTCAGGCAAAGAAGGAAGTGAAGATGAAGCGCAAAAATAGGCGCGAGTGCTATTAGCGTATGCACAAAGGCCCGGAATGCTTGGCGCTGAGAATTCCCACACACCCCACCAAGAATAACAGTGAATAGCTTTATTTTCTTCAATATCGTATTTCTATTACTATCTTCTCAATAAGTAAGATATCTATATATATTTCTTAATATTTCTTTCTTTATTAATAATATCTATAAGTCTTTCTTTTTTATTCGCTCGAGAATATTACTCGTACGGCCGACCTTTTAATCACGCACCAATCAGATAGACCAGTCTTATGACTAATCATTCCACCAATCAGAAGGCCTAGATTCTATATTTTCTTAGCATTATCTCCCGCCGTAGATCATTGTTTACATGTAATTAAATGATTATTTTTAAAGTTATATTTATAGTAGAGTAGTTATATCTAGTAGAAATCAAGGGCGCCGGCGAGGGGCCCCCCAATTATTATTTTTAAAAAAAAAAAAAATTTTTTTCCTTAAAAATAACCTTTTAAGAAAAAAAAAATAATATAATAAAAATTTGGTGTGTGGTGTAAAGATGTTGATTATTCTATGTGCCTGCAGGGCAGATATGTGCGGTGCTAAGCCCACGCTAGGCCCAATTGGATGGTGGCTCTGGAGGAGGCCTTGGCGTACCGTGACAACATGCCCGCAAAGAATGAAAAAAGACACGTCCTCGTGGCATCCCTGGATAGCTATATAAAGCATGCGCTGTCTATATATCCATACACCTATCCTTGGCCTATAGCCTTTATATCCTTCGCATATCGAATATAGCTGAGCAGAGAGGCGAGAGTGAAAATAGAGGCGAGAGGCGAGATAGAAAGTGGAGCATTGCTGAGGGGAAGGGGAGACTCTCTATCAAATTGCATGGCGGTTAGACATAGGATTGTGGAGAGTGGGCCCGCTCGAATAGGACTGCTAGTACTAGCGATGCTCTGCTTCTCCGCAATATTCTCCGTAGGTTTCTCCGCAGTTGCCTATTATAGTGGCTTATGCTCTTGTTTCTGCTCTTGCTGTGCCGGCTTTGGCGTAATAACTGCTTGCTCTTGCTATGGCTGTAGTAGGTTAAAGTACTTATCGAGTGCCTTATCAAGCACGTTTTCTATAAGCTTAGTAATAAAGCGGACTTACTCTGCTGAGAAGCCGGGAATAAGATTACTGAATACCATAGTAATATCGAGTAACCTAGTGAAAGAATCGACGTGAACGATATCGTGTAGGGACTCATAAGACTGTGAGTATTAATATAGGAGCGTACTTAATATTGAGGTAGGTGGGGTCCTAGGAAAGGAGTAGACAACTAGTGTGAGAGCGAAATAACTTAATAGACGCCTATTAAATGATCTTTAGGTGTTGCTACCATATTGTCAGGAGACAATGTGACTATGTCATGATTTGGTGTGTGGTGTAAAGATGCTGATTATTCTATGTGCCTGCAGGGCAGATATGTGCGGTGCCAAGCCCACGCTAGGCCCAATTGGGTGGTGGCTCTGGAGGAGGCCTTGGCGTACCGTGACATAGCCATAATGTAAATAATTCATGAATAGTTGCATGCGCAGGTGCGGAGAGTGTGCCAAGAAAAGACCAAATCCAATCTATTCTATTGATTGAAACGATGATTAGATAAGATTCTTCTGATTGGTGCGTGATTAAAAGGTCGGCCGCACGAGTATACTATTTACTTCTTTATTAAAAACTCGAAATTATTATTATAGAGATTAATTATAATATTAATATAGACTATAATTTTATAAGTTTATAACTATTTAAAGATTATATACTTATAAGCGACTTTAATATAAAAGACTTTAAATTTAATATTAAAGATAGCTATATTTAACTAATTAAGATTAAAGTTTAATTAATTATATTATAAATATACGAGTTTAAATCTATAATCTATTTTTTAAATTAGAGTTATAAAGTAAATTTAATAAGTAATCTTTAATAAGCGATATTTAAATTTCTTATTCTTAAAGAACTATAAGATTAAATTTCGAAATTTTTTTATTTTCGAAAAGCGTAAGCTATAGACTATAATTTAAAAAATAAATTATTAAATTCTAATAGAAAATAATAAAGTTATTAAAGAATTAAAAGTAAAGTAATAGATTTTAATAATTACGAATATTAATTTATTTACTTATAATATTTAATTAAAAAGCGTAGTAACTCTAAATTTATAATTAGCTATATATATAAATTTAAGATTTTTTAACTTAACTCTATCTTATTCTATTATATATATTAATTTTATTTAATTTTATAATTAATAAGTTTTATTAAGAAATAAATATAATAAAAATATAATATAAAGTTATTTTATTAGTATATACAAGTAAAGGCCCATGAATTAAATTCATGGAGTTGAATTTTTCTAAGTTAAATCGAATTTTAGCCCTAGCCCTAAGTTAAATCGAACTCTAATCGCTTGCTATGCGTTTTTAACCTACTTCCACCACTATAAAATTGATTTAATCTATATAGTATAGATATATATATGCGGAGAGAGGCGCGCTAAGGCCTAATTAAAAAGATATATCGAGTGTAAAGGATTGATCCGTAATAATTACCTATAAAAAACAGAGAAAGGCCATGTCCTCATAGCAAGAAGTATTGAAATACCGGAAAGAAATGGAGATAACGTGTTAATTAGTGGTGTGAATCCCACAATATCTCCTGCCGCAGTGAAATCTTTCGAATAATGAGATAGCTGTAGACATCGGACGGTTTCAATTCGTCCAAATATACATCGTCCGATGTCCCTCCTACAGAGGCCCAATTGACTGTGATCGTCGCAGTAGATCCTCCTCTTGTAACGTTATTGCAGTGATGTACCATATTAATGCAGTGGGGATGACAGGCCAAGTTGCAGTGGTGTTCTCCGCTTGCTGAGTGATGATTTGACGTGGGATCTTGGAGAGCTGAGCCGTGTTCTTGACGATGGTGGCCTTGTTGCCGCTTGGTTTCTCCGCAGTGTTCTCCGCATTTGCCTGTTGTAGTTCCTCCTCTTGCTCCTCCTCTTGTAGGGAGAGTATCAGACTGAGTGGCTAGCTAAGTGGCTGACTAAGTGGATAACTGATATGACGTGGGATCTTGGAGAGCTGAGCCGTGTTCTTGACGATGGTGGCCTTATTGCCGCTTGGTTTCTCCGCAGTATTCTCCATAGTGTTCTCCGCAGTATTCTCCGTATTATTCTCCGCAGTATTCTCCGCATTTGCCTATTATAGTTCCTTCTCTTACTTCTTAATACAGTGGGAATGATAGGCTAAGTTGCAGTGGTGTTCTCCGCTTGCTAAGTGATAATTTGATGTGAAACCGTGGAGAGCATATGACGTGGGATCTTGGAGAGCTGAGCCGTGTTCTTGATGCTAGGGGCCTTGTTGCCGCTTGGTTTCTCCGCAGTGTTCTCCGCATTCGCCTGTTGTAGATCCTCCTCTTGTTCAACTGAGTGCGAGGGTACCGAGGGTAAATGTGTTCATATTGGTGGAATTGGTAGAATTAATAGAATTGATAGAATTGGTAGAATTGGTAGAATAGTGAAAGAAGAATGGTTACACAAATAGGTGGAAGGATTATTATCCGATCCCGGACGCGTTTGGTGTGACTACAATATTTGAATGTCAGTTTAACCCACCTACCGCTGGCTTGGGAGGAGTATGTAGGGGAGGACGTATCCGTTCGGGCTCTTTTTAAGGGCCTTCCAACGCGTTTAGTGGAATTAATAGAATTAGTAGAGTGGTGGAAGAATAATGGTTATATAAATAGGTGGAAGGATTATTATCCGATCCCGGACGCGTCTGGTGTGACTACCATGACTATCATATTTGAATGTCTATTTAATCCACCAATAGTAAGCCAAACTTCATAATTTTTATAGCGATAGAAAGCGTAAAGCGAGCTTTATAATTTGAGGAATTATGGGGTAACTGTATGTATCGCAAGCTGAGTACTTCAAAGTGTAAAACTTCTATATATAAATTTTTGATGAGGGAAGCGCGGGAGGGCTATCGGGCTGACTCAGCCGGTCTAACTAAAAAGCGTATAGGACCCGAATTGATGATTGGCTGCACATACAAATTCAAGGTTTCCAAGCTCAGCCCTATCTTATTCTATTATATACTCGTGGATTTCAGAAGTAAGTTACTTGATAGAGCGAGAATATTAATAGATTAAGCGATATGCCGCTAAGTGAAAATATCTACTAGTATCCTCGCTCTATTAAAGGACTTACTTCTGAAATTTACGAGTATACTAATAATTTAATAAAGAAGAAATATATAAGAATATATATATTAAGATTTAATAAAGAAGATATATTAAATATAAAGAATTAATTCGTAATAAGTTATAATAAAAATATCTTCTATTATATTATATTTTCTTTTTATTTATATAAATTAATAATCTTATTATTATATTTATATTATTTATATTTATATTATATTTATATTATATTTACTATTATAAATTATCTAGAGTATATTATCTTATTATTAAGATTTAAAAGAATTATAGAAGATTATAAGTTATCTTTAATATTAGAATTAATATAAATACGATATTAATATAAGTAAGATAGAACGAGAATAATAAGACTATCGAATTATATAGATAGAAAGAAGATATAATATAATAGAGAATATCTTCGCTAAGACTCGCTAGTTATAGAATTAAGAGATATATTAAGAGTACGCTTATAATATTATTCTCTTCTCTTAAATAATTATAATTCTTATAGCTAATAAATCGAAGATATAGATTTATTACTTATCTTATATTTTTAAATATCTATAGTTATATATTAGAACTAGTATAGATACGATATTAGTATAGGTGAGGTAGATAGGATAATAAGGCTACCGAACTATGTATGTGGGAAGGAGGCATAATATGATAGGGGATGCCTCCTGCCAAGGCACTAGGCCATAGAGCTAAGTAGTGTCAAGGGTACGCTCGTAACAGTACTCCCCCCTCTCAAATAGCTATGGCCCTTATAGCTGGTAGACCGGAGATGTAGGCCTATTGCTTACCTTGTATCTCCAAACATCTATAGTCCCTGCCCGTTCTGACTAGAGAGGATTTGCCGAGGTGTAGCGGTAGCAGTCGAATATCGGATGGTTTTAATTCGTTCAAAAACGCGCTGTCCGAGGTATTGCCGGGCCGTATGCTGGTCTTGACTGTGCTATGCCTGCCATACCCACATTGTCCTTTAGAGATCCTGGAGATATTGGTTATATCTTGCCTGCGTGCCAGCAAGATTCTTCGAGTTCTTCTTCTTGCCTAGCCTTCTTATCATAGTCCTTCACTTTTTTCGCCTTCAACACCTACTGGCAGCCTGGCCTGGGAGCTTCACTGTAGATTTGCCCTGCGTCTCTCATGCTCTTGCCATCAAGTCTATTAATAGAATTAAAGAAAATCCAACGTATACATGTTATCCTCCAACATCTGTTGGCAGCCTGGCCTGGGAGCTCCACTGTAGATTTGCCCTGTGTCTCTTATACTCTTACCATTAAGTTCATCTATTCCATCCTTTGTCTTAACTCGTAACTATCTTGCTTCGTAGTGCTATTTATTGCATCTATCCGCTTTGTAAGCCTACCGCTTCGACTGTTGATACCCCGTAGGCTTACCCGTTCTAAGCTGCTATAGCGAGTACTTAGTAGCCAATGATTTGACTAACATAGATTACTTCCGTAACTCAAGTATTTGTTGATCCGTAGGGTTTCGTGGGAGGTGAAGAATCGAATGTGTTGAATGCTATTTGGTAGTAGGCTTTACTATATGTGTTGTCGATATGCTTAGTAAAGAGATTATACGTTTGCTGTTATTGTAGTAGGCTTACTGTGTGTGTTGTCGATATGCTTAGTGAAGAGGTCGAATCGTAATCGTGTTGTTGGGTCTATTCCCGTCGCCATTGCAGCAGGCTTACTGTGTGGGGGGTGTTGTTTTCCGTTAGTTTCTTTCTGATTCGCCTGCACTACGAATAATCTAGCGGTGCTTTATTCCTTCTACTATTTAGAGGCCGTTTCGTTATATCGAAACGAATTACCCGTTTAATGAGCTAATCTAAGAATACGATGTCTTAAGTTCCTATCTTGATCTTAATCGATCGTGATATCTTAGTCTTAAGTTAGTATCTTAATAAAGCCCTTATCAGCGCGTTTATTTATTAATTATTTATCCGCTAATTCGAATAGGCGTGAGTGTGCGTTAATTGGCCCGTATATATTTCTCTTCGCCGAGTATATAAAGAAGTCTTATTATAATATTAGAACTAGTATAGATACGATATTAATATAGGTAAGGTAGAATAGAATAATAAGGCTATCGAATTATATAAGTGAAAAGAAGATATAATATAGTAGAGAATATCTTCTATTAAGATACTAGGCTATAGGGCTAAGTAGTATATTAAGAATACGCTCGTAATAATATAGATCTTAATTAAAGAGAATTAAGATTCTAAAGATATAGCTATATCTTATCTATATATTAATAAGATTCTTTAAATTCTTCTTTTATTTAGCTTACTTACTATAGATCTTCGAAAGAATTAAATAATTTTATTATATATATATATATTATACTCGCTAAAAATTTATAAAAATAAAGAATTTTTAGTATTAGTATATTAGATTAAATTAATATCTTTCTTTAACGCCGACGACGATAGTAATATCGCGTCTCGGAGATTTCGCTAGCGCGTTATCGATAGTACTTTATTATAGCGTTATAGAGCTTTTAATTTAATAAGAATTTATAAAGAATTAAATAAATAATAATTAAAAAAGAATTTATTATATAATAGCCGTCTAATATAATAGAGAAGAAATTAATAAAATAATATAATCTAATTAGTTAATATCTCTCGAATCGAATCGAGCTATAGACGCTAAAACTCTAATCTAATATTAAGTAAGTTTCTCTATAAAATACTATATAACTAATATTAATAAAGACTATCGACGATAATAGTAAAGTCTATAGATAATATATTATAGCTTTAAAAGCTCTTTATATATATAATAATAAGAGAAGTCTACTTAATAAGTTTAATATAAGACTATTAATAAGTAATATAAATCTAGAAAATCGATTTCTTAATGTAAAAAAAGGAAGTCTTCTAAAGATATTTTTATCGTCTATATTTCTCTAAATTAGAATAAGAAATAATAGTATATTTATTACGAAATTTTATTATATCTTCGAGTCTTATCTTAATATATTATTTAGTAAATATCTTCGACTTCTTATTAATAAGTTTCTAGACTTTCTTTTAATTATCGAGATTTAGTTATATAAAAAATATCTTTAATCGTAGCTAAGTCTAATTTTCTTCGTATATAAGATCTTTAATCTTCTTAGAAAACTCTAATTTACTAATTAATTCGAATATTATATACTTATCGTCGTCTATTAAATATCTAATCTTATATTTAAAATACTTTATAAATTATCTATAGAACTTAAGAAATAATTAATTATATTATCTCTTTATTATACGATAGACTTAATAATATATATCTTTAATAATAAATAATAATATTTCGTATACGTTATTTAAATAATTAAGAAGATTATTAATTAAAGAGTAGAAGCTATAACGTCGTCTAATAAATATATATTAAATAGCCTTACCTTTAAGTCTTATTATAACGTATATAATTTTAAAAGTATCGATAAGAAAATAATTATTATTATAAATAAGCTTATCTTAAATTCTTATTTTCTAATTATTAAATAATATTAAATTAGTACTCGTAAAGATAGATGAATCTAATAGTCTTAGACTAAGTAATTATCTAATTTACGATTATCGATTTACTTTAAGTATCTCGAAATCTCGTAATATAGATAGTAATAGAAATAAGGGTGAAATAGAGATCTTAGGCGAGTTTTAATTCTACGTCTTCTATTATTATTCTAATATCTTCTCTTAATTAATATAAAATCGCTAATAAAGATTCTTAGTAGATAGAGAGCGCTATATACGTAATATATGAAGTTATAGCGAATTTAAAGATAAGTATCTTCTATATAAATCGTCGTATATAAGATAAGACTAATTATAATATATAGATAATCGACGATATAAAGAAACGTATTTTAATATTAATATAAATGAATTTAAATAAGAATTTAAGAAATTTATAATATATTAAAT